CCTCATTGCCAGCACCTGCTTCCTGTATCTTGTCGCGGCCGGCCTTTTTTCTCGCGCCGTCTGGTACTTCGAGCAACACGAATTCAACAAGGCTAGCGGTGGTGACGCTGCCGAGAACGGTTCGGGCCCCGGGTCATATGATATCCGGTCCAGTGTTTGGCACGTCAACTGCTGCAACCCGGTGCTGAATGGCGGCGGTGGCTGGGGTATCTTCAACGCCCTCTTGGGCTGGCAAAACAGCGCCACCTATGGCAGCGTCATTAGTTACAACGTCTTCTGGATCGTCGTCATTCTTGGCTTCATCTTGCTGAGGTTCAAGGAGATCAAGGGACACTGGCCCTTTGTGAAGTCCAAGGCTCCAAACGTCGCAGTCACTGAAGAGAGATACAGTGACGGCGAGTCGAGCGGCTTTGGTGCGTCAGACAAGAAGGTCGTGGTAGGCGCCAAGCCCGCCGCAGTCGATAGCCACGCTTGAGATGGGTTTCTCATGAAACCAAGGGGTCCAGCGCCCACTCAAGAATTTGATGCAAGGGAGAAGATGGGTGCGCCGCTTAAACGACCATGCGCGATGTCGTTCATCCAACCTTTATAATCCGCGGGAGGCCCGTCTGCATTAGAACCTTGTCTAGTTGAGTCAGAGTATAAAGAGAGTCCGCAGTATTTGGGAGATAGCTCTGGGAGGAGGGAGAGAAGTGGGAGAGAAAGAAAGGGTGGAAAGAAAGAAAGAAGAAGAAAAACAAACATCAGCGACTAATATAACAATATATATATGTGTATGTATGAGGAATGCATGTGTAGGTGAGCAAGTAGATGAGCAAGTAAGCAAGTATACGAGCACCCGAGTACCAGGGTTGAGCAAGTTCCCAAGTTGGGACGGCGGAGAGGGAGTGACTGGGTTTTATGCTCCGAATACGCACCGACGCGATATCGATGCTGCGAAATCGCTAAACACTGATTGGCTGATAACGTTTCCCTTTTCGGACCTTTCCACAACGTTCTTCGATTCACATGCCCGATACACATGGACCACATTATGCGCTTCACAAACTGCACAAAACTCCCATTTCCGGGGTCAAAGCCAATGCCAGTGGCGCTAGAATGATTTATGGGGACAACATATCTTACTGCGCACTGCGGCTTTCACATGTGATAGCAGAAACAAGTGTGACCTAGAATACTTGTACAAGTTCATCGACTGAGCAGCCACCGAGCATATCTGAGAAATCCAGCAGATCAACCAGCTCAAAAACACATTCCTGTTGCCCAGTACAACACATTGCTTGCCCCCGTCTCCCCCTTGGTCAAGAACAAGCTGAAAGCCAAAGCACGCCTGCTGTCTTCCAGCGCAGTGCCACAACAACAACACGGCAGCAAAATGAAAACATGACTTCTCCCCTCTCCCACACAGCGCTGCTCCAAGCACGAGCTCATATCTCATTCTCTCCGCCTCTGGTAACTTACAGTGAACTGCAAACCCACCCACCCAGCCATTGCAGTCACGGTAAGTTTCGATGGTGTCATTGTACATGTTCCTCCCAATCGACCTTTGGATTTCAAGTTGTCAAGACACCTTGCATAACAGGTCAGGGTTGAACGTCGAATCGGTCTTGATGAAAATTCCAAGCTGAAAGGCTGAACGGTGAATTTCAAAAACAAAACTATGGTTAGTGGCACAGGGGAATAAAGGGAAAATTTTACTGCCGTACAGTAGCTTTTGAGTGTTGGCGAACGCTCAAGTAAGACGTCGTAGTGGGCACTGGGGAAATGGAAGGGATCCTACGTGGGAACCTAGAAGGTTAGACTCTGCTGTGATTAGTAATGGTGGACGTGATTTGGCCAGCGTCCCAAGATTGTCCCAAGATTTCGTTGAGCGCGTATCCGGCATTGTCGGCGCATTTGCTGTGACCGCCAGTCTTCGTCGAGTAAAGTCGGGGAACAACGGAAGTTGTCGACGTGAAGGATCATGAAGGTCTTCGACGCTTTGGATCTGGCGTATCAAGATCGAGAAAAAGCTCATCATCTTCTTCTGCCTTTCGCTTCGCTTGCTTGCCTTTGACGGGAGTCATGGGAGGACTGAGATTGCCCAGATCGACGTTTTCGGCGGCTGAAGCTTGGTGCGAGGAGTCTTCGTCCACTATTTCAGCATTTTTGGGAAGCAGAGACGCGTCCGTGTCATCTGTAGTTGGTAACGTCGCAACTTGGTCTTGATTCTGCTTGATCGCGGTGATGTCTTCCGGCACACCATCGCCAAATTCATCTTGAGCGATGAGGAACTCTTGATCGCCGTAAGATTTGTAGCTGGATTCCGGCTCGGGTTCATCTTCATGTCGAAAAAGATCTTCTGCTTCCTCGGTTGATTGCCCAGAATCCTCTGCCTCGCGAGTTGCGCCTTCGATATTCTCGAAGTCCGTCTCAGCGACATCGCCTTCCACGGTATGTGAGCTGTTGGTCTCATGCTCTTGATCATCACCTGGTTGATCTTGACTACTAGGGCGCAGCTCCCGCTCAGTTCCACTGGCCTCAGGCTCTCGTGTCTCATCATACACGTCCTCTGGCTCACCATCCTCTTCTTGGTCGGCATCAGCAAGCAAAGCGGCGTGTTCAGTTGCTTCGGGCTCTGCTGTGGCTGCAAAGGCCTCGGGACGATCCGCATCGCTAGCTGTGGGTACACTATCCCGGGTGGCATGGTCAGAAAAGATCTCATCCTCTGCGGTTTCTTTCTGATCAAGGGTGTCTGTGTCATCGGCGGCAGTCAATGCTTGAATGTCTGTGCGTTCTGTCACTGCTTCTATTTCCTCTTTGGTAGGTGAGTGATCGCCTTCATCTTGACCATCTTCAATGGATTCTTCTGCACCATCACCATCCACCTCCGGAGATTCCGAATGATCAGCAGCAATTTCAGCATACGTCTTTCCTTCGGCTCCTGCAGAGCAGAGGTAGGCGTATTGCGACGCAAGGCTCACACGGCTGCTCAAGTGACAATATAGAGGTTGGATCACCTCGCCTCCGTTATTGTTACACAGGTGCAAGTAGACATCGAGGATTTGAGAAAGCGTAATTTGAGTAGCGTATTTGGAGTCCTCACAGATGTGCAGACCTAAGCCGGGCACGTCAAGCACAAGCTCATCATGATGATCCAACGTGCCAGTCAAAATCTCACGGCATGCTGCGAGCAATTTGTCCAGGGGCTCAAAGGCTAATGAGGCATCAGGAAGGAAATACACACTCGAGGCGTCGCCGAGCATAGGAGGGAAAAGCGACATTTCCTCTTCTAGATAGACAAGGGTGACAGGGTGAACACTCAGAGCTGCACTGTCAGCTTCGTTCTTAGCTGTCTCCTCGTACTGATCATGCGGCGCCGGTTCGCTTGTTTCGGTTCTTGTCTGGACGTCAGTCTCTGGACCACTGACTATCTCGCGGTGGAGAGTATCAGTCTCGGGCTCGGGCTCGGCCTCAGCCTCAGCCTCAGCCTCAGCTTCAGCCTCTGGACGTTGTTCGAGGAGTTCGGCACCATCATCGTGTTGCTCAGCTTGCGTCTGTTCGGTAGCTTGGTTTTCCCTGTCCTGGCCAGCCACGTATTCCGTGGATGTATTCGGTGTCTCGGTGTTTGGAGCGTGGGTCTCTCCTTGTTCCTGAGCCGCGCCCTGTGCTGGTAGAGAGGCCCTTGCGACGTCGGCAAGACCCTTATCTTGATTAGTATCTATATCGGCATGATTTTCTTGTTCGAATCGCTCCCCAGTCTCTTCGGAGATGACATCTGCTTCCACCTCTTGAAAGGGCTGCGGTTGCCCTTCAGGTTCGTTGTACTCGTCAACTACTTCAACATCTTGTACAGCGGCAGTGATGTCTTCCTCGTCTTCGTATAAGATATCCTCATCTTCATCACCTTGAACTTCCTCGATAGAACCATCCATGTTGTAGTCCAGGTCGGGTTGTTCTGTTAGCATAGATGTGTTTTGTTCATCTTTCATATCATCATCTGGCAACGTCTCATCAAACTGGTCTTCCATTACATCGAGTTCGGTGTCGAGAGGTCCCACAGGGTCATCGACCATGTCGTCGTGGGGGGACCCAATCACGGAAGGTTCACGGACAGAATCGAGGTCGATGTCGATATCGTCAGGCTGTCGAAAAGGGGACGATGCTACATCCATTTTGTCATCGAGCTGCGACACATCCATGTCAGGAAAGGCAAACGAGGGGATCGCAGCCATCGCGAAGGATCGCGGGAGAAACACGGATCCTTGTGGCGGAGCAAATATTCCCGTAGTTTTCACGCGTTACTCTGCCAAAATCTTTTTTTTCCGTCGTTGGGATAAGAGGCGTGGCGTTCGGTTGTGTGGCAGACTGATCTTGGGTGACGGATCGAAGGGAGTGGTGTGTTAAGGTTCATCTAGATCCAGTTTCTCCGAGAAAATGGTGATGGTAGAGTATTTCCACGTAGTGAAGCGTGTGCTCTCCGAAAGAATGATTTCAAGATTTTCTGAAGGTCACGCAGTGTTCATGGAAGAATCGGTGACTAGAAACAAGACGCGAAGGCAGCAGAAACCCAAGTTGAAGTCACTGTCCGCCAAGGATTTCCGTAAACGTACTAGCGCTATTTGAAAGTTATTTGCGCTGTTTGCACTGTTTGCACTGTTTGCACTTCAACAAAACTCCCTTTCCCTCCCCTGACGCAGTCTTGACTCAAATCAGAGGAGACTTCAATCGCTTTTGGCGAGGAGATGAGCTGAAGCGAACTAGCTCTGCCAGCAATACAAATGGAAATGGAATGTTAAGAATGCCGATATTACGCTTGGGGCTTCAGCTATATGAGTGAATGAAGTGCGATATGTCCGACCTATGGCCTCATTCTCTTCAGCAAGGTATTCTTAATATAGGATAGGTACAGGAGGTGGTAGTCCCAGGGGCGTGGAAGCTTTGACAGCTAGTGATGCGGAACGCTAATTTCGACAAGAGAAAAGTTGAAGCATATGGTGCCTTGCCGTGTATGAAGATCCTCAGGCCCACCAAGTTTCGTTCAAACCATTCAAGAACTCGACATCGATCCTGACAAAGCTTTTGCAGAAATCGAACTCCATCCACCAAGGTCGCGTCTGCATGATGAATGTGGCTGCAGATGCGAGTTTCAAGAGCCCGTCTTCATTTTTTCCTAGCACAAGAACAACATCCTTACGGATCTGGAGTTTCTTTCCGCGATCAAACTTGTCCATAAAGGGTTTGAATCTGTTGGTCATTTGGAAGTGAACACTATGTTCCGAGTAAGGCATGTCAGGTCAAAAAAGGCGTGGTTTGGGCGGTCATCCCAGTGAAGCATAATTGGGTAAAAATAAGGTGTCGACCACAGACGAAGCAATGCAAAACGGGCGGAGGGCTGTGAAGCTGTAAATTGTTGAGCATGCTCGCACAATCAGTCGAAACTAATACTATAGGGGCTGATGCTGTCCTCTGGCAATAAGATAGCAGGAATGATGGACCGGTAGTCAATGAAAAGGTCCAGAGGCCGGCCATCCGCGGCAAAGGCACGGCCAGCAATGCTGCTTCTCGGAGTATATGAAACGCAAATGACGCCATGCTTGAAAACTGGAGAGTTTTGCCAGTACTACAGTGTCTGACGGGAAGTAGCTTGTTGATACATACATTTCGCGAGCTTGGGACGAATACAAATGTCCCATTGAGCAGCAAGAGAAACACCGGACTGACTCCGTGAGACCTGTGTACGGGATCTGGGAATGACTTTGTCCAATGCCTTGTAGAATGTCCCGTCTCGATCTGTGCGCTGCTGCGGCTTCGACGATTTGGGATTTGCTTTGAGCGTCGTTTTTGATCGAGTAGTTCAGAGTTGTTGTGCTTGGAACCGAGTTCGCCCCGAAGAATGAGGCAGCTTTGGGACGAAAGAGCAAGACCGTCGTGCAGGCTCGTTCTACGTCCCTCATCACCCGAGGGTGAGTTTCTGGACGGTAGGCTAGATGCTTGAGTACCTGTGCGGAGAAAGTAAAAGCTTCGTCGAAGAGCTTTGGATCGCGCTCGGCATCACGATAAATCGAGATGTAATCGCTCCAGCTCTCGCGTGCGCCGGGCTCTAGATCGCATCCAAGTCATGCTTCTTTGAAGACTATGAGCTGTCAGCACCCCTTACATCCTGCAAGGCGGAATTGCAATATGTTGGTCTCGGCTCGCCTTGTCGCGTCCACCAAGACAAACCTGGGGATCACGAGACTTGAACACCAACAAGTGATGACATACATACTGGTAGGGATTCAAGCAGCTGGGACTAGAAGGGAAGCATGGAGGAGGTGAGAGTGGGCAGTCGCTACGATGGTACTGTCAAAGTTACTGCTGACAGCAAACGCCTCTCAGTCTCTCTGTCCATCAGGTTACTGCATTCACTTAGTGGGAGAGCGAAGTACAAGCGAGGGTTTCAGCTACAAAGAAAAGGTTTTGCACAACGTCTTTTTGGCCTTTTCTTGTCGACAACTTGCTCCTTCCCAGTGGACGCTGCCTGCTCCTCAAGCCGTCCCTCGGTTATGAGAGCAGAACTCAATAGGCGACGCAACTTACAAGCCTCCAAAAATACAGCCACGACTCTGATGGTTCTGCTTGAGATTGTGTGCCTTTCGCACTTCGCAGGGCATTTTTGGTGGCTGATTCTGGCGATAAGTATCGACCACTACACTCATCAATGTGCCAGGACGAGTGTATAGGTCACCAAAGACTTACCAAGCTTCTGACACCTCTGCGTCACAGGGGCACCTCTTCGTGGTGTCACATCTTAGCCGATGGTGCTCTGGGTCTACTTCGGCAACTACAATGGAGAGACCCAAAAATACAGGCTGGAAGAAGCAGTGAGTGTATGACTGTTCTTGCTTTCTCAGCCTCTTTCTAGGCCAAACTGCATTCATACTGCATTCATACTGCAGGACCAAAAGCAGCTCTCTAACACCACCACCTCCCTCTCCCCTTCGGTGTCACAAAACACTTTTCTCCTCCTTGATCCACGGTTCTACAAGAAACATGATCTCAAAGAACCCTTTGTCGAGCAAGCGACAAACGGGCAGCAGGGCCCAGAAAGCGACTCAACCAGAGACCTCTTTTCGCTCGACCACAGAACAATTATCGGTATGTGACAAGACAGAAATGTGGGATCAATAATGTTGTCCATTTCCTGCCATACCACATCTTCTGCAAGAGCGAGCACTTACCCTAAATACAGTAAGCGGCGCCATGGGCGGGATGGGCGTCGTGGTGGCCAAGGCGATTTTGCAGTCCGGCGCTGACGTGATTGCTATCGACCGCGACGCGGAGCCCAAGGCTTCTCACACAGGTATGGCTTCGCGACAGACCACCACACCAAACATGGCTGCAAATACCTAACGCCGGTGCCTTTAGAAGACCTATACAGAGCCGCGGAGAAGAGCGGGACCGTCGTCGCCTACTACCAATGCGACATCTCCAACCTCGAGTCGACCTACGCTGCGTTCGAAGACGCCGTCGCCGCCGCCCGATACCCCTTGCGCGGACTGGTCAACTGCGCCGCGATCGGCTGGGTTGGCCCGTCCATCAACTTCCCCGTCGAGGACGCGAAGCGGATCATCGAAGTCAACCTCGTCGGGACGCTGATATGTGCGCAGGCAGCGGCGCAGCTGGTCAAGAAGCACAATTTCTCTGCCAGTTTTGTCTTCATCGCGAGCATGAGCGGATACGTGGTCAACAAGGTGTGCTGCATTTTCATTTTCCCTACAAAGACCATCCTTTTCTCCAATGACACCACCGCGGCAGAGAGAGAGACACACACATGAGGGCTGACAATGTGGCTGTCCTCTTTGGATTCTGGCAGGGCACACCCAACGCGGCGTACGCGGCCTCCAAGGCCGGAGTGCAGTGCACCAGCTCACGCGCAACCTGGCGTCCGAATGGGGCTCCTCGACCGACGACGCGGGGCCCTCGATCCGAGTCAACTCGGTCAGCCCCGGCGTCATCCGCACCCCGATGACCGCGGGCGTGTGCTCTCAAACAGCAACTTTGACCACTTGTGGACCGAGGAGAAGATGCTGAAGCGGCTGTCCGCGCCGGAGGATTACAGAGGGCCCATTGTCTTTCTCCTGTCGGATGCAAGCTCGTACGTCACGGGGGCTGATCTGTTAGTCGACGGAGGGTACACGGGATGGTGATGGAGATGTGGTTCGCTTGTCAAGGAACAGCAGAGCGGGTAGTTGGTGATGAGCTTGGAAATTGGGTTTGACGATAATTCATGGGCCATGGGAAGAATTCATTCGGTCGCATTTGGCATGCAGCTGCTGCCGGGTGCTTTTCGAGGAAATCTACATTAGAAAGCAAGCATGATGAAGGGAGCATTCTCGGTACGGTTCCCTGGTGATAAAAGAAATTTCTGGCGTGTCAGCTGGTGCAAGTAGTGCGCCGCAACCTGCGCCGTGACAGAATTCATGAACTAGAATTGATTGTTTTGCCATCACTGCTTTTCCTGTGCTTCTACCGCAATGCTCTGCCTTCTTTTGTCCCTCACAGTATGGCGATCGCATTGGCCATACTACCAACACCGCCTAATTTTGTCAGTTGAGATTACCACTCGACTTGGTGAGAATGATCTACCTCGGACATTGTTGGGAGCACTGGCCAAGAAAAAGGTCCATTTCTTGTCGGCCGCGCAGCAGGAGGCAAGAGCGTCGAGGTCCCAGAGTTCGCCGATCGGACAGCCCCAGAGCGCCAGGAGGTGTTCGTGCAGGTAGAAGCCTTTGTGTATGATTCAATCTGTTAGCCATGAATCCTCTTTCGCAGCTGTGTCATGGCAAAACAGCCGGGATCATTGAAAACCCCCTCAAACAATAACATACCAGCGTCCGACGGCATGGCCTCAAATCCAGGCTGGTCTCCGGCCACGGCGGCAAAGTACGAATCGTGCAGAAAGTCGAGCATTTCTTCGCTCTGCTCGAGCCCGATGTAGCGTTGGCCGTCGTTGGGCGTGAATTCGTGCCGCCGGAGGTGCATCTTCGCCTTTTGCTCGTCGCTTAAGGACGACTCGTGCTCCAGGAATCCCGTGCGGACGAGGAGAATGTCCCCGACGCGAATATCGCCGCCCATGCTCTCGGGCTTCAGGTTCATGCCTTGACTGGCTGCCACCTCGACCAGGGTCTGGTGGGAGATCTTGTAGTTGTCAAAGTATTTGACTTGAAGACCGTTGGCTTGGGCGTACCTGCCGAAGTCGAGCAGCACACCGCGGCCGGCGATGCCATGTGTAGCCCACGCCTGCACGCCGAGCTTCGGACCGCCCTTGTATATATCTTTGGCGGACACCTAGGGTAATATCCTGGTAAGAATGTGCGACTTGATGGAGGCCCCGCCTTCCCTCTCCCCTTGGTCCCGGGATCTCTGAAGCTCACCTGGTTGTAAAAATAGCCAGACGGGACATGACAGAACTAGTAAGCCGTCAGCGGGTTAGCTCGTCTGCATCCGCCCCAGGTAACAGGCTCAGCGTCCATGGGACTCACATGATGGAATCCGTCCCACTGTGAACTTGACTGTGGATTGACCACATAGACTTCGTCAAAGGCATGAGGCGCAACCTGCGTAAGTCTGTGCTCAAAGGCGGCCCGTCCGTACATGGGTGGAGAGGGCTGGTCCAAGGGGAGACTGTGTGTGATCCATATCACAGTCAACAAAGGTTGGCCAAGGGAAGAAGTATCCCTCACTGGCCGTAGCCAACGAGACTTACTTGAGGTTCACGACTCGGCCCTGTGTCGCCTCCTTCATTGCATTCAGAATTCTTTCGGGTGTAAGGAGATTGAGCCGCCCGAGCTGTGTTGCGGATAATTCAGTTAGTACGTGCCTCTGAGGTTCGTGATAGATGATGGTTTCCGAACCTCGTCTTCCTCGCCCCAGATCCAAGCAGCTCCAGGCGGTTGGCCCTTGCGAGGGACTAGGTCTTTGCGAAGCGGTAACATATTTGCAGTCCGGAGTCAATGGCTGCGGCCGAAAGCGAAGAAACGTGCGGCGTTATGTGCGTTTGGGTCGAAATAGGCACCCCGATATAAAGAAGATGCCAACAGACTTTTGAGACACTAAACTCCCAAATGTCGGGAATTCGTGTCGCGTAAAGACATGCAAAGTCATGTGCATTGCTCGAACTGTTTCCGACTTCTTCGGTACACGACCTCGGCCGGGCACACACAAGTATCAAATTTGGGCTGAGCCAGGTTTGTTCCCAAGGCGCCCCGGCGTCCGGCCTTTCCGGGTTGCCGGATCCCTTGATTGCGGCAATGTCTCTCAAAAATCTCTGGGAGCCCCAAACTGAAGGGGATTTTCTTGAACGTCAGTTGATGCAGTCCTTCATGGTGTTCTGCACCTTTATGCGGACAGGAGTCGATTTCAACGCTTTTCGAGGGCGATGCCTTGGTATGAGTACCCGCGAATCCTTGCGAACGGACTGCAGATTGCCAGATTCTAACTGTACAACATTCCTGGTTCATCTAATTGTTGCCATAGAGCGCGTTTTGCAACCAACTCGTCGTCGTATCGAGCTACGCCTTCCTCAAACCTGACCCGCCAGTCCGCATTGCAATATGCATAGTGCGCCTTTGTGTATTCCCAATATTCCGGATACCATCCGGCGAATTGCCAATCAATGACGGCAACAATCTTGTAGTTACGCACGACGAGAATGCGAGGGCAGATATCGGCGTGAGCGAAGCAGGTTCTGTATTGGCGGGTATAAAACCGCGTGACAACTTCGCCGAAGACTTGGGAACAGTTCTCGAGCGGGATATTGCCACGTAGAAACGAATGGAACGAATTAATGTTGTTGAAAGGGCTAAAGGGGCGGTACCCTACTCGGACGTCGAAACATTGTCCAAGTTCTGATGAGGCAACGACTCCCTTTTGTGGCGGGTCGAGCTGTCGAAGTTGCCAATGTACCGAGTAATCAGCTATCTATCGAATAATGGCCTACTTCTCATCACTCGATAGGACGTCGCCCACCCATAACGCTTGCAGGGTGTCGCCTTAGATATATTCCATCTAGATGTAGAGGTGTCCGTCGACTCGATAAGTTCGATGGACCTTAGGTACAGGTATAGAGGTGTGTTTCGCGACATATCTCAAGCCCTTCAAGTTCCGCTGAGGGACAGGGACCTTTGATGATTCGATCGCTGTTGACCCTGACCACGATGGATCCTAAGTACCTGCTGGTTACGGAGACGGTCCTCGAGTACCTGCAAAGCCTCCTCCGTCCGACTCAATGGGTGGCCCGTGTTGGGACGGGGACCTGCAACGTTGGCGCAAAACATTTGCAGTCGACGACAGCGGCAAATTTCTCATCAATGACGAAACAGATTTCGAACACGTGAATCATCTAGCAGATTGGCGGCAAGAACTTGATGCTGTATGTACCATACCCTCTGCTCTGTATAACTCCAGAACACATGCCGATCACTCAAGGCTCTGGATTTTATCGGCCAATTTGCGCTCGCCGCTAGCAAGTTGTATTGCGATGTGTATCCCAAATCCAATGACTCGGGCACGCTGAGCCACAAAGAGGTGACAATGTCAGGTTTCTGGCTGAGTGGGGACAAGTTCGTGACTTGTGCTCATCTTCTGGACATTCACGCCGACACGAATGTAGTCGAGACAGAGCGATGGCTGCGCAACCCAAGTTTGACGACAGCACGTGTTTCGACGGCGAGAGTCTCACGACGACGTGGGGAGAAGGTGGTGAGTCGGCTGATGATCAGACTGTTATAACACACTGCTAACTCTCAGCAGTGGGAGCAGTGTACCATGTCAACTTGTTGAAGGTTTGCAGAGCCTCAGACCTTGCTATCTTTGTCTTGAATTCTGAAACCGCCGGAAACAAATACACACCTCCCCACCCGGTGCACTCCATCGACCCTGGATCGTTGGAATCCCTATCGCCCGAGAACAGTTGGGGTTGCGTGAGACTCTGACCACGTGCGCGGCACTCCGTATTGAAAACCGGAATGAACAATACGTCGTTGCCACCCTACGATATGTCAAGTGCATAGCTCCTACATGGGACCCAAAGCGGTGTTCTTGATAGAAATTTCTACTACAGTGGAAAACAAATTGAGCCTGGCTGTACGGCCTGATACGTGGTATGGAATCCACAGCTCTGCAGCCTTGAGGCGCGGCGCGACTTTGTCGCTGTGCATACTTCCATGTTCGTATTAGCGGCGGTCATGTTCCCACTACATTCCCCTCAAGCCGCCCGCCGGTGCCGCTTTAGACGCATTTCCGGTCCAAGTGGGGAATAACTAGTGGCAACGCAGACATTCTCGACACTGCATGGCTGACTTTGCCGGCCAAGGGGTTTCCGAGGACGACAGAAATGTTGCTTCGGCTACTCACGGCGGGATGCAATGATGATGGCCGCCAACATTTGGATTCAAGCTTTGGAACAAATCCTGGGATGGGGCTGTCAAGGAGTGGGAGAAAGCATGGCCGGTCAACCCGCCCATCATCGGTCACTCTACGACTAGAGACGCATACCTAGGGATTATTCAAAGCACCCGCCTGATGTTTCGTAACAGTATGGCCGCTTATTTCCTGGTAGCAGAGTCTGATCATGATAGCCTGTTGACCAATTACCGGAGAGAACTGCTTGCACAGGAACGTGAGGGTCTCCTTAAGCCAAAGGGGAAATATTGAGCCACGGTTGAGATTCATGCACAGAAGTTACGAATCGAGAAATCTAGATCATTGTCCATGGAGCGAAGAGTCTCAGATTATATTGTTGCAGCGTGGAAGAGATCAATTTTGGCGAAACTCCGCGCTTAGCTTCTCACTTTCGTCTCGGATCCTCCATGTAAACTCGTAGGTCTTGCATGCATCTTCGTATGAGGACAGGATTTCAGCCGAGGCAGTCGGGACGCCCTGTTTCGCGCTGTCTATACCGTTTGCAGCTTCCTGGCAAGGAACAGCTCTGAGGGACCCTAACAGGCCTGCAAACTCCGAATAGAACGGATCGTCATTGAGAAAGGTGAACGACTCTTCTTGCTCCGAGGCTGGGGTCCTGTTGAGAAAGCATTTGACGTTAGCAGGTCCTTCAAATTCATAGATCTCGTATGGAGCTATGGCTCTGACGTGAGCCTCACGCTAAATGCCAGTCCATTCAGTCTTGTTTATGGCAACTTACCTGACGTAAAGTGTTGGGGTGCTGTAGAGATCAACCAGACGAAGCTGGAAGCCGTCTCCGGCAACGACGATCTCGTTAGAGTATCGAATACCGTGCAGTGCGACTATATGCATAAGTGATCCCACTGCACCACCTTGGTATTTCCTGCCTTCAATTAGCCAGCTGTTGCTCGAAAATCCTATTCTCCTTTTGGGGCATACCAAAATGCTGCTGTTACGCGAGGAATGCGCTCCTCAACAGGTATTTGGGACTCGTCCACAAGCATGCTCGATAACTTCCCAGCCGGCTCATAATGTTCCAACGCGCAAGCCCTGACCGTATCGAGATCAACCTCTCCACCAAGATATCGACAGAGATCGCAGAAATGGGTTGCTTGCTCAACAATAGGTCCGCACTGTTTTGCCTTGTCCCACCAGTCCGTCTTTCGCACTTTGGAGTAAGCCATGCTGTATCGAGCGTTAACAGCCATAACCTTTATGTTGTTATCGCGTATAATAGACATCGCTTTCTGCACGACCTTGAGGTATCGAAGCATATAGCCGACCGCAATCTTGTTACCTGACTGCTGAACTATTTTGGCGACTGGCCAGACTTGGACGGGTCGCGCCGTTGATACCGGCTTTTCAACGAACAGCCCCGGTGCGGGCCCGAAAGCAGAGACGACTTGGACTTCCAGGTCGCGACCAGGCTGCGTAGTTCCTCGAAAATGAGGAGGAGTGGCTAACACAATGAGATCTGGCAGGGTTGCTGTGTCAGTCAACTGCTCCTGGGCCTCTCTCAGGGTCATAAAGTGCTTTGTTTTCGTGTAGCAGGCCGCCGCTGCGGACCCGGACTTCTGAAGGAGGACCTGTTTGACACGTTCCACTGAAGGATCGACGATTCCAACGACCTCGAGTTGTGCACCCAGGTATGTCTCGATCCGTAGCGAGTGGTTCCAAAGAACATTGTCATTGCCGAAAGTGATGTTTCCCTATATCCACAAAAAAAAAAATCTCAGCCCTGAAGTTTGATATCGAAAGACCTTGCGTACTGCTCCAATATAGAGAACATGGAATTTCTTGGTGGCCTCTGACATGCTGGGCTTTTTTGGGAGGAATGCGTGTAAACTTCAAAGCCTCTTGTTTCTTTCGCGATATCAAATTCAACGAGGACTCTTGGAGATGGCGCTTTTAAAAGCGGACAGCAGTTCAACACTCGGGGGCGTACGCCCAATGACGCCGGAAAAGTTCGGAGCCGGTCAATGGAAACTCTCACAGCCGGGGATTCGACCGCCCTTCCAACTTAGCCACACGATCTCCAAGATCTCCAAGTCCGAACATGTTCGATGCAGACTCAAATCATTGCTACACAACGAAGGTTCTTTCAACACTAGTTTACGATTCCCTCTCCTCTTCATAGCTGGTGAACCATTTGCTCAAGGCTGTGGAAGGTAGTGGAGATCCAGACTGAGGGCCCGGAGTAACCATTCCAACTTCCAAAGCTTTGCAACTCGCCCTTCCCTACTTTTCTTCCTCGAATGAGTACAGCGTCTTCTTCGGGACGTCTTGTCGGAGGATATATCTCCTGAAATTGCTAGGTATGGCGCGGATATGCTATTGTCTTTGTCAGCAATGGAAGCTAGGACAATGAATGAAGGTGCTTCTTACGAAGGCTGCGTGAGTAGCCATTGGCATGTCGAAAACCACGTCTAACTCTTCTGGAATGAGCCGTCAAGCGTCAGTGTCGCCATGGAATTACAGGCACGCTATTTCGGATCAGCAAAGAAGGTGGGGGATCTAAACGTACCCAAGGACAAAGCCTTCGTCTCGGGAAGAAAGAGATAAATCGCCACGGTCAGAAGCGCGTTCCAGCCTGCATACCAGAAAAATGCTCCAGGTGGGGTGAACTTGTCCAAGATGGATGGAAAGGTCAATCCAACAATCGAGTTGAAGCCCCAACAGACGAAGACTGCAAAGCTCATTCCAACGTCTCGGACAGCCAGTGGAAAGGCCTCGGCTGAATAGACGAACGGTACAGGTCCCTCTCCCGGACTGTAGGCGATTACGTAGAGGTAGACTCCCACGGCGACAACGGCCATCTTCGTCGTTGAATCGGTAGCATAGAATCCCCCAGCAGCCATCAATAGGAAGATCGTCATCAGCGGAAAGGTGCAGAGCAGGAGTTTCCGGCGTCCAAAGGTGTCAATGGTCCTCACTGCGGGGAATGCAAAGATGAAGTTCAGCATTCCAAACCCCCATGATGCAAGAAGAGCGTGTGATGGACTGGCGCCAGCCTGCGAGAAGATATTCGTAGAGTAGTAGGACATAACGTTAATGCCGCAGTACTGCTGCGCAAACATTACCAGGCTGGAACCGATGACAGCGTTGCGATTCCTGCGAATTGTAAACAGCTGTATAATGGGGACGGTCTTTTGGTGGGCTTGATATTTGGATTCTTCTTCGAGGAGAACGTGAATGTAGTAAAGGTCACGAGCGGCTTGAATATCCGAGCCGCGAAGCGCCTGGAGGCTCGTGAAGGCCTCCCGATAGCGGCCTTTGAGCATGAGCCACCTTGGCGATTCAGGGTTGGTGTAAACAACTGCCATCACGACAAGCGCTGGGAGTCCGGCAATGCCGAGCATAAGACGCCAGTTCAGTCCAACAATGCCACTGCGGTCAGGGACATGGTAGAATGCGATGTTGCAGGCCGTTCCGAGCATAATTCCAAAGCTACCGAGAGTGAGATACCCCTCGTGGGTCGTGACGAGGGAAAAGGGACCTACGCTACCCAGATCTGCCAGCACATTGTCAGAGCACCTCTGATCCTGGCAGGAGCACACTCGGCCGCATAGACGCTCAATGTTGCGCTTTTCGGGCCCAGGCCAATTCCAAGAAAGATCCGTGCTATCATGAGATGCCACTGGAGTAAGGCGTTAGTTGAGTTCCACATATTCCTCGAGGATGACAGTCATACCCATGTATTTGTGCACGCGGACCAGATGCAGGCAGCGAAGCAGAAGAAGGCAGTCACAAACATGACACCTCGTCTTCCCCATCGGCGATTGAGCGGAGCGGTGAGCCACACACTGAACACGGTGCAGCAGAAGTATGGAGCGCTATTGACAAGGCCCAGGATCCAGGTTTGTCGCCCAGGCCCGTCAATGCCAAATTGCTTGGGGAAAAAGATATTTGCACCGTTAATAGAAACCAAATCCATGCCATTCACAGCAGCTGCAATGCTGCAGAGTATGATCAACCGATAGAGCGCGGAGGGGTGATGCCATTCTATGGGCCTGTCAGCGATATGCACCATCCAACACCCAAACGCTCACACTCACTTTGCTCTGCTTCTCGCTGCAAGATATTCCGCTCTTCCTCGGTTAGAGCTTCGAGGTTGTTGAAGGCTGCGCCAGAAGACAGTCAAAAACTGTGCCATCTTGGTCAAGACTTTGGTGACAAACCGCCATGATGTTGAGCAAGCAGGGCTCCTTTCTGCAGTGCCTGTGTATACTCTTCCAAACCATGCTGAGCGGCGAACGTAGTGGCATTGGTCTGCAATCTACTGAGTCTTGTCATATAAAGGTTGTATATGGTATACACTCACCACGACCTGGTCGATTGCCTGGCTCTGAAGCGGGTTCACCAAGTGAACCTCGCCAACGGTCTCTTCGTGCTCCAAGATTACCTCTCGACGTTTGGGAGGGGCATCCTGCATTTTGTCACTATTCATGGCGATTTTTCTGCTGTCACCCAATTGAGATATATCTGTCTAATGTGAAGAGATTCTCCCCCCGTCCATTCGCTGAGTCGCCTCGTCTACTTATACCCGAGGTGCCAGTCCAGGACTGCTGGAGAACTGTGTCCCATGGGGCCCCGGCTTTTGGAAACGGACAAGCAGATGCTGGACCAGCCGCTGTCTCGCGGCAGAGACACCGGAAAACACAAGACCGGGTCCGGGAGGGTCTCTATAATCCGGCCATGTTGGTTTACCGGGCCAAGCCTTGCGGGGGTTTCCCCAACCTCCAAACAATATCATGTTGTCCGAATGGGGGTTTTATTCTATCGGCCCTGCGTCTCTTATTCCACCCTTGACCAGCAGCTTACTGAACATCGCTGAACAGGGACAAAGAGCAACATCACTATCTTTCAGCAGTATGGAACAGAATATTCAGTCAGCGCAAAATGTGCCAGAAACGCCTCTGGATCTAGCCCCTCGGCGCAGGCTCAAAGCATGCCGGACTTGCCGGCGACAAAAAATGAGGTGCACAGGAAGCCCGGAGTCTCCCTGTCCTCGCTGCACCAATGCAGGGCTACCATGCATTTTCGAAGATAGGAAGGCAGCGGCGCCCGGCATCGTAAGCGGGGCTCAGAAAAGAAAGCATGTCCAACATCCTCCACCAAATCTAGCTGGGTTCCGCTAACCTCGTCGGTTTTGTTAGACTGGTGGAATTGGAAGGCGAAATCCAGCAATTGAGAGAAGAGCTGAAGTCTGTCTCCAAAATTGCAAAGGAAAGCCAGGTCGATCATTCGCATTCTCTGCGAACGCCGAGTTCGTCTAACCAGCCCGCCGATGAGCCCAGCTTGGACCAGAATGAAACCACTCGGCCTCTCATCTCACCATCTTCGACTCCTACGCAGAGCCAGCAGCAAGAGGATCCAACAGATATTTCTCGCTCCTGTCAACTCGGCAACAACGAAGGAGGACCTAATCCGTCTACTCCAGGATTCAGGGCCCCTCTTCATGTCCGGGACGACGACCACACCATGCGAGGGCGAGTGGGTGCGGGGAGATCTGCTTCTCGCAATCAAGCTCCTTCCGGGGCAGAATCCGAGGCTGACTACATGCATTATCACCATTTGAATGCCCCTGTTACCGCCGTTCAATCCATGGAATCAACGTCTCCTCATTCAGATGTCGCTCTTCGGTCTGTAAGCCACGACGCTAGCGGTATCCAACGTGGTCAAGCCTGGCCAGAATCAGTGGGAATGTTGGCACCTCCTTCTGATGAAACATCCGACATAGTGTCAGAACTATTCAAGGATGAAAGCCAGGCACGATTTCTTTTCGCATCGTAAGCATTCTGTACTCCTCCATCAAGGTGTCCACATTAATTTTGTCTTCTCAACCCAGCTATTTTGAAGGCGGTAACCCATATATTCCAATGTTTGACCCCATAGTGGATACTTTCGACTCTCTACGGACTCGGTCGCCTTTTTGCCTCATCGCCATTTTGTTCATTGCTCTGAAACAGACATCCCATATCCTACACGGAGCTTCTATAGACCTGCAAACAAAAGTACGAGAGGCTTGTCTGCAAGAAGCGCGCCGTTGGGTATTCGACAGCATCTTCGAGCATCCAACGCTTGAGACCGTACAAGCAATGACACTGCTTGCAGCAAATGCAGAGAAAAGCTGGCTTGCCATTGGCCACGCTCACCAAATGGCGCTGGAATTAGGCTTGGATTGTGCACTTCACGAGTTAGTCGGTGAGGAACCCTTGATAACCGAAAGACGGAACTTCCACATTGGCAGCCGCAAGGCCCGTACGTGGTGCATCTTATATCACATCGAGCGTGAGCTTGCAGTTGGCACCGCAAGGAAACCACGCATTCGCGAACTCGATAAAGCCTTATTGAGGCCCTATTTGGACCTTCCTGTCTCATACCCAAGCGACATGAGGTTTATATCTACGATTGAGATTGTTCAACTCCGCAGTAAGTCACGGCGTGTTCTCTCGGTGAGATATTTAACATGTCCTCCCAGGTGATATTCAATCTAGACTCGAAAGTGCCACGTCGGTGTCCACCATTTCTGAGAGTATACTGCAAGAGTTCGAACAGAAGGCTCAAGAATGGTTCCAATACTGGGACACCCGATTCAAAGGTATTTCTCGTTCCCGCCGCAACATTGGACACAAAGACTGTTTAGATCTGCTCCATTCGCCCTATCTGGGAGGGCTGGAGGAATACGCTGACCGGATTTAGCATACAACGTAGACGAAGACTCACTTAATCGAATCAGCTTACTCACTCAAAAGAACTATTCAAGAATCACCATCTGCTGCACCATTCTCGGTCGATTACACAAGAACGCGAATACACCATGTCTGGCGGTTATGGACGAAGTTGTCCGCCGGACAGCCGAGACCATATCAGACCAGCTCGACGTCGTATCTCGTTCCAAGTCCTACAGGTGGCACTTCCGCTGGGCGCCAACATATTCTGCCTTGATGCTTACATTCTCACGTCAGTAATCTCCATAATCCCCAAGACCACTTGTTTCATTTACCGCGGAAAGTTGCTGACGGCTCTGCAGTGGTCTTAGCCCTCCAACTTGCAAACAGGTGGCCGGGCCATCTGGACAAGGCTCAGACGGAGAGGCAGGTCAGGTCTGTCCTTGGCTTATTGGAGATGCACCCTTACCAAAGCCTTGTGCTTCAGGTTCGGAGAATGCTTGAGAGATCGGCGGAGGAGGGGTTGCCATGGCAGCAAAGACTTGCCACTTGGCCAGTCGAGGAGCCGAAACGCGGCGCGTCGATGCAAAGTAGCAGACAACATAATCCTCCCCTTGAGATGCAGGCACCCGTCAACTCAAGCGAAGACGGCGGTGTCCTACAGCACACTGAATGCACAGACTCTTCGAATCCCGAACTCGAAAACTTGGATTGGCTTTCCGGGGGTTCAATTCTTGGGAACTGGACCCTGCTTGAGTTGGGGAATTCAATGTCATACGATATGTCCATGTTCGGGGGGAATGGAGCAATATGAAGGAAGAGAAGTTGACCTAGGAGCATACATCGTACTGTATAACAAGTATGAGAAGTTGGTTAACTCCCAAAATAAGTACACAAGCCCAGAAAAGTAAATTGTGAATAGGAAGTACCTCTCTCACCTCTCTCCTCTCTCTCCCTTATCCTAAATACTTTTACATAATGAAAGGGTTGCTGAAGTGCACCAGCCCTCTTCCGCGGGAAAGGAACGAGAGCCACGATGCCCTGTGGGATAACTAGGAGTATTTGTATAGAGGAGTCGCTCCCTTGCCCACTATGATACTCTGAGGCCTCGTCTATCCTATCACACCGCACCGATACTATCCTGTAATGTTTCCGCTTGGAGTGACACCCGCAACCCAGTTGAGGCGGGAAGAGTCAGATGGACCCGGTCTTGTCGGAGAAGGGAACACCTTCCTTATCACCCAGACCCTTGTGCTGCCCCCCGGAGCCGGCGATACCGCCCATCTCAGGGGCTAGCCTTGTCGGTATTCTCTGACTCCCTCTCATGGCGAGCGATCATACCGGATCCGGCTGAAAGCTGATTGCTATTCCGAATGGACATGGACGGGATATAAGAAAAAGATGCTGGCTGTTATATACAATATCTCCCCATTCTGCTCTGCTCTGCTCTGCTCTGCTCTGCGTAGCCCGAGATATACCGATCTTGTCAAGGCGAGCCATTTCTCTGGGCCTCGTATCGATTCTGCCTGCCTTGTCGTGATGTCTACGCTTGAGCAATTGCGGAAATATACTACGATAGTATGTGACACGGGCGACTTCGAAACGATCAGCCAGTACTCGCCGCAAGATGGCACGACCAATCCCTCGCATATCCTGAACGCGGTCAAGCTGCAAAAGTACACCCACACGATACCCGCCGCAGCGGCCTACGGCATCTCCCAAGCACCAGACCTCGAAGGCCGGGTCCAGCACGCCGCGCTGCACCTGATGGTGTCCTTTGGCGCGGAGATCCTCCAGCGCCTCCCGGGCCGCGTGTCCACCGAGGTCGACGCGGCGTACTCGTTCGACCGCGACAGGACCGTCGCCGCCGCGCGGGACGTGGTCCGCCTGTACGAGACACGCGGCGTCGGCCGGGAGCGGGTGCTGATCAAGATCGCGTCCACGTGGGAAGGGCTGCAGGCGTGCCGGGTGCTCGAGCGCGAGGGCATCCACTGCAACATGACGGTGCTGTTCTCGATGGTCCAGGCGAAGCTCGCCGCCGAGGCCGGGGCGTCGGTGATCTCGCCCTTCGTGGGGCGCACCATGGACTGGTTCCAGAAGTATTTCCCGGGCAAAGACTACACCGGGCCCAAAGACCCGGGCGTCCAGCTGGTGTCGGACATCTTCCGGTACTACAAGGCGTCGGGAGTCAAGACCGAGATCATGGCAGCCAGTCTGCGCAGTATTGACGAGTGCGTCCATCTCGCGGGCGTCGATCTCATGACCATCCACGTCGCGGTGCTCGAGGAGCTGAAGAATGCAGACTACGCGGTCAAACCTCGTCTACTTGCCAAGAATAGTAAGTCACTCGTCGTTCGCATTGTGACTTGTGCGGGTCCGCCAACATGACCTTTTCTCTTTAGATCATCTTGATCCTCACAAGGCGTCTTCTGGATATCTGCAAGACGAAGCGAGGTTCAGACTCGACCTCTTCATGGATGTGATGGCGACGGAAAAGATCAATGAAAGCCTACGCATCTTCTTCCGTGACGGCGAGGAGCTGAAGAAGCTGCTCCGCGACGCGATTATCTCGCAGACGAGCAGTCAGGCAAACGGCCACCATGCCAGCGATTGAGGACGGGTCATTAGAAAGGTGATAGAAAGTTAGTCCTGGGACTGTAGTATCTGAGAGATCATAGATGATATACCTGCTCTGTGACGGTTCACACAAGGAAAATTCTACGCGAAGGCAACCTAGATCACCGACCGAAAACCATCCCCCTGTTTTGCCGTGTGCAGCATAGCCCTGGGGGGTGAGCGAAGCCCATTCACGCGAGAAGTCGAGTCCTGCCTGGCCAACGGCAAGCTCAGGTACAACAACGGCACATGTTGCTGGGAGGCATGCGTGTCTGTCTCTCCGAACCCCCCTGACGCTGCAGCCCGAGTGATAGTCGCCCTGTATGCCATGGCCTGGTCAAAGTACATGAACGTCACCACTCGCTCAAGCGGGATCCGGTACAACCTGGCCATCGTCTCGGCCAACTGCAGTCCCATGCTTTTCACCTTCTCATAGACCCGCTGACTCGGGAACATAACGTCAAAGGTCCGTTGGTACGGCCCGGCGTTTTTGCTGCGGACCACCGTCGCCACGTCGCCGAGGTATCACGTCCCCAGCGCCGGTTCCAGGGTGAGGTAGTACCTTTTCGCCGGATCCCCCACCTGGGGTTTGAGCTTACTGGCGCCCGCCGTTGTTCCTCGTGACGGCAAAGACTTGGATGGAATTGCTGCTGGAGTAGGCATCCTCGGGTCAGTTACACCAGTTTGATATGGTTGGGGAACTTGGGGACATCCCCACCGATCTTTTCTTCCTTCTGCTCTGTTAGAAACGGCATACGACACTCACCTGAACCAGACACTTCCTTCCTGACAAACGAATTATATCCCTCAACGGTGTATACGCGGACAGGGAATAATTCGAGCGGATCTGTCTTGTGCATAAGGTGATAAACGCAAAATTCGGAGGACGGGCCCATGGGAACCTCAGACGGGGTGAACGGCCAGGCAAAGTTGCCCCCCCGTGGCGACCTGGCCGGGATACGCAGCATGGGTAAAGGAGAACTTGACCATGCTGGCGACCTGGTTGGCCTGGTCTTGCGTCTCCGCCCGGACCTGTCCTGCGATGCCCACTTCCTTGGGTAGGCGGTCGTCCGGCTCGAGATGACCCATCACACCGTTGACCCCATAGGTGTGAATCTTTAGATCCCAGGGAAAGTCGGGAAACTTCACCCTTAATCCACCCAATCCAGGGGTCGAGTTGGGAGATGAGTATCGGGTCGCGCCTGGCTCCGATGAAGATTGTGTGGAAGCCGCGGTTCCGCGCGCCCTCGAGCTTGACGGTGTACCCTCCTTCTGGTTCGGGGGCAAACTTGGCCCCCGAGACACGTACTGTCCGCTCATCGATCTGCTCGTACTGAGTCTCGTCCAGCACAGCGTAGCACCGCCGGGGCCCAGTAGTACGTCTGGACGAGTGTGTTCGCAGAGGAAATGGGCTGCGACCGATATAGGCGTAGCTTTAGACCCCAGGTCGAGGGCCAAGATACTTCACACACACCTTAAGCGAGGACTTCTCGAATCTCGACCTCTTGGCTCGGGGTTCCATAAACCACACTCTTCCGGATGAATTTCGTCGGTCCGCTCAGCCGCACCTCCAACATTCATTGTACTCGGTACACGAAGAGGTCAGCCCTCAGGCGAAATTGCGAGGAGAGAAGGATTTAATTTAGGATTCGGTGGGTGGAGATGGAATCGATCCCTGGATGACAAAGCCAATTCTGCGAGGTGATTGGCCGGATTCCAGTTTCTGGCGCCCTCCATATTCTAGATTCGGTATAGGTCAGGTCTGGAGGACGGACTTGTCTTCTTCCTCTAGAAATCCATCCTCGTACGGGGAGGTACGAATAGGCGGCTATGGCAGGTCCAGGTACGGCGGCCTCGTACGTATTTGCTGTAGGATCCAAAATTAGTAGTATTGTCCACATGGCACAGCAAAACAAGCACATGTATCGTACTGTAGACAACTGGTCATGTGACACGAGAAGCCCAGTGCAGAAGTGCAGAAGTGTGTCATGTGACATGTCAGGCACAATCCGTCCTTGCGCCGCCTGCGCTAGCCCCCAAATCAAGGCTGGCGCAATTCCTGCGGATTTGGCTCTACCTTCTCTTCCTTCCCCGTATACCCAATGTTGCTCTCGATAGCGGGCCCCTATCTTGGCTCTAGGTTCAGCTCGACCATGCCTCGTATTACTATTGCAAAGGATGCCCCCCTCTGGAATCCCACTATGTCTTTTCAGCTCCCGGATGGTGATTTGGAACGTCGAGTCCTTCCTTTCAACAACAGTATCGAGTACTTTGTCTCTTTTCGCTCGCCCACTGCCTGCTCTGCTTGCCTATAATCATTCTTATTCCCTTGTTGCTTCCCCCATTTACACCCGTGATCTCTTTTTGGACGTCCGCCGTTGCGTACAGTAACGGAGAGTCTCGCCGCGCTAAAAGTCACTTTTTCCAACGGTTGCCAGGTGGTTGAGGTTTGGCGTTGTCCGAAGTTGAAGAAGTTACATCTGTTGCCATCATAAGAAATCGAGTTCCACGACAACTAGGTCACCGATCAATCGTACGGGGGTTAGCGCCCTGCCCGTCCCTCTCGAGCCAGCATTCTTGTTGTCCAATTCATGTCCACCGTCCATATTCGCGCAATGGATCTCGTTGCAAGAAAAACCCGTCTCGTGATCGTCAACGATGGCGACCACAAGAAGAGCAAAGCGTGGCGAATAGTCATCATTGTTCTCAGCAGTATTAGTCTCCTCCTAACCCTCGTTGGAATTGGCCTCCGTATTATGATACGGAGGCGTGCACGACGCGCCAAAGCCGAAGGAAATAACGAGGGAGAAGATCCGTCTGAAGAAGATCCCGGCCTGGACAATGGTTCTACCCAAGACCCGCCAAAGCACAAAGAACACCCATACTACAACAGTCCCGGTTACGAGGCAACGGCTGATCAGAACCAGACTTTGTTGGGCAACGACGAGAGGCCTCCGACCACGCGCTGGGACAGCGACTCGAACAGCGCGACAGGCATCCAGCGACCCGAGAGCATAGCTAGCTACTACAATGTACCGCCACCCAGGTACGAGTAAGTGTTATTGGGCAGCGTGGTTCATTGCAAAGAATATCCACAAGATTGTACGAGATATACCCAAGGTGTGCTGCTTCGCTATGGAATACGACGGGAACGATTGCACTGGTTTCACAGAAGACAATGCGGCAGAAGGAAAACACGACAAGGGCGGGTGTCATGGGCGGCAGGGGTATTCCTACAGGTTGTTCTGGGGGTGTTTTGTCTGAGGGTTGCTATCTCAACACGCCATGTTCGGAATTCATTCATTTAGAGCGAGTCAAATATTCGTTCACCATTTGGTACTCTCCGTGACCTTGTGATCTTGCTTGCGGCGCCTCTACCAAGATATCGCCCCGATCCCAGTTTGAGATGGGTCAATGTGCCCTCGAGTTACAACCCGCGTTAGGGTGCGAAGCTTCAGAACCACTGGTCGATATACCGAACTACTAATCCCATACAAGTTGAACGAGTGACGGTCCATTGCTACTGGGTTCGCATATCGTGACTTGGGTCCCTTGATTGATCCGCACCACTCGACGCCACACTGAGGCAGCGTTGTGTCCCTCACTCCCAAGGCTTGGTGGCAGCACAAGCAATAATAGTCGAAGTGCTCTGAGCCCTCGACATACTCCCGCCAGGGGGGAGGGAACGATGCCACTTTTCAAGACGACCTGCTGGCGAGGCACCCCCCCCCCCCCCCAACACCAAAGACGCCTCGCGGCGGTCGTCAGACCGAGCGGCTATGTCCCACCCACTCGGTTCTGATGTGCCACGACATGTGTCTGGCCCGGGGAGTTTCTCTCGTTCAGCCAGACGGCGACGCACACTCGACAGTTTGCGCAGAAGTGGCGGACGTCCTTGGTGCCGTTGGTGAGATAGGGGACCGGGGCGAGGACCACCGTGGCGGCGAAGAGGAGTCCGGCTGATCGTCTAGTCCGGCACTGGGAGGTCAGATATTTCCCAATCTTCTTTCTTCTCAAAAAATCGACAGGTGCCAGCGAAAATTGTTGGTGGGAAACTTACCGGGTCCGCCGACCGGCGACGTGCTCGACTCTGGTCACGCCTTGAAACCCGCAGTACGGGCACTGAATAGGGCCAGGCACGTCGCGCAGTTGGTCCAACGGCATGCACATTCGGTGATCGTGCGGCGGTTGCCCTGGGGCCTGCATGGCGACGCGAGGCGGGCCGGCGTCATTGTAAGTCGGCGGCTGATCTAGAGATTCTGCCAACAACACACACCATATGAGCCGCGATGATTTTTTGGTCATTCTATCAAGACACGAGGTACTAACCGACTAGCTTCGCCTCGAAGCTCCGCGTGTCCTGTCCTCTCGGGGGAGTTCCCTTGGCGTGTTCCTTGTCCATGGACGATTTACAGACTGGATTGGGGGTTGAGAAGGTGAAATTGTTTCTCTCGACACACTTGTGTCCGAAGTGTTGATTTCAACGAGGGAGAAGTTGTCCACGGCGAGGGTGCCTTTGACACTCCTTATATGTCGTCTGTATCCTCCTCCATCTTCTCCTCGAAGTCGAAGATGGGGGGGCTTTCTGGCACCGCCACAACGGATTGCTCATGTCAATTTCACAGACGCCGCCACGGTGTAGTAGTACATAGGCACAAACCCCGTGTTTCGCTCAGCCCTGTATGTCATGCTAGGTAGGGTGGACTGGGTGGCAGGCAACAAACTTGGCCTCGAGGCTTCTGATTTGCCAGGTCGTCTAGAATCTGCCTGATTGGGAATAGCGCGACCGGAAGCTTTCTCACTCACAGACTCCGCAAACCGAGCCAGATGTCCACAATCCCCGAAATCGAACCAAATCAGGGTCGACGTCGATAATGTCGGTTCAACACTGGTGGAAGCAATCTTCATTCGAGACCTTGGACTCCATTTCACAGCCTCGACGAGCGGTTGACGACATTTTTCAGGGACAACAGAAGTGTTTGCGGGTCGAACACTGCCCGCATACGCTGCGTCTCGTCTCGTTCTCTTGGAGGAAATCAAATGATATTGTCCTGCCTCAATTGCCAGCGTCGACATTCTCCTGTCTATAGAGACTAGGTTGTCGTGGCATTGCGTAAGACAACTACAGCACAGATCCTCGTTATGAGGCCTCAACAGACTGCCCAAAACACAGATACTACTGTGACACTGATCGATGAGACGCAGATATAGCGCCGAGGAGCGGTCTTTCAAAGCTCTAAACCTCCCTTTTAGCCATGGTAACCCTCAATCCAGGGACATGGACACTAGCAATACGGCTCTCTTGCTCCACTTTGAAGATAAACTCGTCCAGAGGCTGTCCGCCGTACGTGAATTGGTCCACATCATCCCACGCCTCGGTAGCTTGACCAAAGAGACGAGGGATGCCCTTGGAGTGGGTAATACTCAGGCCTGACTCAGGGCTGCTTTCGGTCAGGAAGACCGCGCGATACCTCAGCTCTTTGCCACCCCGGTCGATGATGGCGGGATAAAGGCGCACAGACTTAAGAGTCCCACTCCCAGAGGAGCGAGAGTAGTCGTTGGCGACCTGCAGAAAATCAACGCCGTAGCTGACCCAGTTGCGAATCTCGAGACCTGGCCCATTCGAAGGTAGTGTCAGTTCCAACGTGCTGCCGCCTGCCGTCGCGTTGGTGACGTTGGCAGTACTGTACCACCCCAGCAGCCCTCGAGTCTGCGCTTGGCGACTAGAGATGGTACGGAGAGTGTGGGCCGTGACAACGTCAGCCAGGCGGAGAGGCAGCTCGCTGGCCGGCTCGGACGCGGCGACCAGTTCTGAAATGACGATGCCAAAATCCGGAACCAAGATTAGCCACGAGTTGTAGGCGCCAGTGCTTCCGGATTTACAGTACAGGTCAACAACACGGCCGGAAACCTCGGCGCGGTATATTTCCCACGGGGCGCCGACTGAGAGGAATAGTGAGGCGGTATGTGTCCACGGTTTCAACCAGCGCCTCGTATCCCCGGATGAGAGCTGCCTCTTGCTCAGGATCGCAAGACCAAAGGAGCACAGGTCCCTGGTGGTCGAGTAGAGACCCCCAGAGCTGCCGACGGTCAGAAAAACTTGCCAAGTTGCTCCGGCTGCGATATTTCACTTACGGTGTCTCATCTCCCAAGTCCTGGGACCAGCCGGAGCTAGTCGTGTCTCCAGGAATGGCGCTACGGACGTCGTTCGGTGGTTGACGTACAAAGGTCATTTTCAGACCTAACGGGTGTAGTACCAACTGTTGAAGGGCAGTGGCATAGCTCGTGTTTGAGATCGTCTCCACGACATATCCGAGCAGTCGAAAGGCATTGTTTGAATACGCCGGTGTGTGAAACGTCTCGAAGACGGCGTCTCGCTGCTTCAATGTAGTCATGAAGTCTGTGTCATGTCCCAGTCAGATGAGTTTGTTTGCAAGTCAAAACTATGAAAAAGGCCTTCGAGTGTTCGTCTAACCTGAGCGGGAACAAGTCGGTACATGGCTTTCATTGGCACATCCAGGGAGGTCGGACGGCGGGATGTTGGGGAGGCCGCTGGGCTTATTGGGGAGCGCTGCCAGGTCACCCAAATTGTCTAGAGGAAAAAAGAGCGGCCGTCAGTACGTCAAAAGAGACCAGATAATGCGGCAAGGTGACAACCTTACAGTCTCTAGCGATGCCCGCCAAGTGTGATGCGAGTGCCCCAATCGTGACTTCTGACCATTTTGCTGGAAGCTCGCGAGTGTCGCTCGGGGGTTTGGATGTGGCGAATTCCGGGAGCAGGTCTCCAATCCACTGGGCAAAGATGCTGTGGCCCTGAGAGACCAGTATCGTATAGACAGTGAATAGTTTGGATATGCTGCCCACACGGAAGACGGTGTCGGGGTCGACAATCTGCTTCGGATCCGTGGAGTAAGAATATGTAAACAGTGGTTCATCAGCATGGATCGACGCTACACGCGCTGCAACCAGCAACGACCCGTTTGTCGAATTCTGGCAGAGTGCAGAGAGGTCGTCGCTAATTTCGTGGTGATCCAGGGGTGCGTAGATCGTCGGATCGAGTCGTTCATCAAAAATCGAGCCCAAGAAAGTATCGAAACCTTTGCTGGCGGCACTCATCCCAACTTGGGCGAACCCTAGCCACATTGTCAGGTTGACAAGTCGCATCTTCAGGCTCGTTGCGTACTCCGATGTGTGGTAGTTCGAACTAAGGAATCCGTTGGGTGCTCTTGTGCTTACAATGGCCACAGTAGGAAAGAAATAGGAATCGAACCTCCTGATTCTGAATGCTCGATAAAATTGTAGAGATGCCTCTCGAGCCTCGTCCCACGAGCAGAGTCCCGTCTCAAATACATGTTGCGAAAGTGGAGGCGATGCCGTCGAGAAGGTGTGAGGGCCCACTGTTTCTACCTGATTCGCCATGCCGTCAAACAGTCACGGATTAGGATAGGGTTCCTTAAAAGTTTGGCCCGGCACCAGCGTTCAAGAGTGGGTTGTCTTCCAGTCTAGGAACACATCAACCCCAAGTCGCGCAACAGCTGGTGTTTCCATTGATCCTGTGTCGTCAAGGGCGATGAGAGGGGGTCTGCGCTTGGTGAGCGAAGCCTTTCCTAGGGAATTGCAGCTCAACGGAGCCACTAATTGTACTGCATTCAAAATTGACCGCTCTGGGAGAATTCCGCTTTGCCCAGCCGAGGTGATGAGTGCGCAATTTTCAAGACTGAGGCTGTAAGCAATCAAGGGCCGATTTGGCAGTCTGTAAACAGTGGACGGTGTGCCTAATGGCGCTTACCTACTGGCTACAATTGGTATCACCAGTAGACTTGGAAGAAGTGATGTTCCCACGCCCCTGTCTGACCACTGGGCCGCAGTGCACAGTGCACCTCAGAAGAACGCCGTCGAGGATCAAGGTCAGTGCCAGTCGAATGAACTCGTTTCGCCTCGGGTATGCGGTGCTGCTCAAGGAAGGCTCGGTCGAGGTCACGTTCTTCCAAATCTTTGATGACGGCAGCGATTTTGGTCATGGCGGGAGCATTCCACACGCCTTCAGTCCACGGGATGGACGACAATAGCTCCATCGCTTCGTCCCGGACCCCAAGGTTCCGACATCGCGTGGCAGTAAAGAATAGGGGCTGGACAATCCCCAGCCCTAAGGAAAAGAGGGCAGGAGTCGCATCTGACCGACGGTGGTTTAGGAGCGACCGAGACAAGGAAATTATGAGGCGAAATGAATCGTCATGATCATCGTAGCAGAGCTCGTTAGGACAAAGTGCCGTCGCCAAATATACCTTAGCGGTCAGATGATGAATGCGGAGAAGGTTTGAGTATGTTTGGGCGTACGTGTTTGGAAAGCTGTCTAGGCGCTTTACAAACTCGTCATAGCTCAGCCCCCATCGCCGTAAATGTGCCCCTAGGTCCCGACTTTGACTTGCAATTTGCGGTGGTCGATCGTCCGGGTTCCAGTAACGATGAGAATTGTCGAGAGTGCCCCTTAAGAACGACCACAGCCGACTTAGACATGCATAAAGGTGGCGTTGAGCAGTTTCCAGGGATTCAAACCGGACCACATCTCGGTCGTAGTTGTCGTCGGCAGCGGTGATGGTGTTGGTCGGAAGAAGCGGCGTGAGTCGTGGCACCCAGCCTTCGATAAATGTCGAGCCTTGGACGTCAAGACGCGCAAATGCATGGAAGATGTCTTCGTCGACTGTTGACCTTACATGTCAGACGAACACGGCCAGTATGTTAAGGATGTAAACGAAGAGGGGGAGAGGAAGCACTGAGCTCTCACCGGCCAAGGACGAGCAGACACGCAGGCCATTCTCCAAATGGAGTCGTGCCTCGTTGTAAGCGCCCTGGGCGAGTTCGTAACAAATGCCCAGCAGGGCGCACACCAAGGCGACCTCAGCGGCGTGTCGATCGGGCTGCCGCAGCAACAGCCTCCGCAGATCTCGAATGGAGAGACCGTAGGACCTGAGGCCAAACGTCGTGACACCATCACCATCGCTGCCAGCTGGCCACCGCGACGAGATTTGGAGCTGATGGATTGTGAGCGCGGCCGCGGCGTGGCGCACGCACGACTCCTGGTGAAGTGCCTGCAGTATCAGGTGCTCGAGACGTCGTGAAGGGTCATCGAAAAGTGCGCCGATGACGTGAGAACGAAAGGCATCGAGACAAAAGAGTCCCAGACCCCTTGGCTTCTCGTCGTGTGGCAGGGTCGACAACGCCATCCCAAGGACGGTCGCTGGGGGCTTCCACGTGAGCGAGGGAGCCTGGCGCGGTTGGACCACGACATAGCCATCACAGGTACGTCCCGTTACCGTGCACTGTCGGCAGGCTGGTTTTGTTTCGTCACACTTGACATGTCGAACCCTTTAAACACATCTCAGCCGTCCCCGCAACGTGGCCATTAAGGGAGGGGGACGGATTGGTAATGGCTTACCTACAGGTCAAACATCCAAGACGGGACCGAGACGAGCTTTTTCTGACCTGTCCCATGAGACGAAAGGATACGACGAGATTGAGAAACGCCCACTCAAGGGTGCATAATGCATAACCACAGAAAAGTCAAGATGTGTGGTAGATGGAGGGTGAGCAAGGGCGGCATCACCCTCTTTCCCGATCGGGGGTGAGATGCCTTGGCGTCTGCGATATACACATCTGGCCTCACTTCTTCCCCCCAATTACCCCGACACACCCACTCACTCACCAACGAATATAATCCCCCATCTTCACCATGGTTGTTCTTGCTGCTTCAATATGTACGCGAGGCGGCAAACCGCTGCTCTCTCGCTCGTTCAGAGAGATTCCCAAGTCTCGCATTGAAGCCCTCCTCGCCTCGTTCCCCAAGCTCGCCGACTCCTCTACACAACACACAACCGTCGAGCAAGAGAATGTCCGTTTTGTCTACCAGCCTCTCGACGAACTATACCTCGTCCTCATCACAAACAAACAGTCCAATATCCTCCAGGACATTGACAGTCTACACTTATTCGGCCAGGTGGTCACATCCATCTGTAAGAAAGCCGAGGAACGCGAAATCCTGCGCAATGCATTTGAGCTTCTTTCCGCCTTCGACGAGCTCGTCACCATGGGCTACAGGGAAAACCTCTCCCTGAGCCAAATCAAGACCTTCCTCGAGATGGAATCCCACGAAGAGAGAATTCAAGAAATCATTGCCCGTAACAAAGAGCTGGAAGCGTCAGAAGAGCGGAAGCGCAAGGCGAAACAACTCGAACTTCAGCGGAAAGAGGCTGCGCGCTCTGCCGCGTACGGCCGTGGCATCGCACCGAAGATGCCTCAGCAACCTGTCTATACACCGCCGACACGGCCAGAGAGCTCTTACGACAGCTACGAAGCTGAAAAGAACAAGACTTCCAACAAGTTCACGGCACGGTCCACAAAGGGTATGCAGCTGGGCAAGAAATCCAAGACGTCAAATGCGTTTGCACAAGTTCAGCAGGAAATAGGTACGGAAGAGGTACCCGCAGTCGAGCCTTCAGCGGAACTACCTGTCCGTGGCCTACCTACCGCGAGCACTCACGACGCAACGCTATCCTCTCCGACCACACCTATCCTGGTCACTATTGCAGAGACGTTTTCGGCCAAACTTTCGCGCGAAGGCGCTCTGAAGTCTATGGAGGTCAAGGGGGATCTACAATTGAAAATCAGTGATTCAGCCCTGACCAAGCTCGCCCTCTCCGTCCAAGCCGTCGAAGGCCCTCTGAAAGCCCAATTCCGGACACACCCCAATGTGGACAAGGGTCTCTTCACCAGTCAAAAGATCATCCAGCTGAAAGACACTACCAAGCGGTTCCCTCTCAACAACAGCATCGGTGTTTTAAGATGGCGCGTGACCGCGCCCGCAGACCACAACACCGACGTCCTTCCCCTAACACTGACAGCGTGGGTCAACAAGTCGTCCTCCGATGGCACCTATACCATCACAATAGAGTACGAACTCACTAACCCCGCCTCGACAACTCTCAGGGATGTCACCCTTACCATCCCTTACTCTTCGTCAGAACCCAGTGTTTCATCCTTTGACGCCGTATATCAAGTCACAGGCGACTCATTAGAATGGACCATCGGCGTCATTGACGCCGAGACGAGCTCTGGCAGTTTCGAATTTGAGGCCCAGGCGGATGACGATGCGGAGTTCTTCCCCATGACGGTAAATTTCGAGATGAGCAGGACGTTTGTGGATGTGGACGTGACGGGGGTGAAGCTGTTAGAGGGAGGCTTGGACGAGGAGGTGAACTTTGAAAAGGTGATCAAGGCCCGGAGCGAAGGCTTTGCGATTGAGTGACGGAGGCTGACATGAAGACGGGGCCGGCGGCGGACTACTCAAGTTTTGCCCGGTGACTTGGGCATTTGATATCTAGCTAGCGATTGTGGTTATGAGGAAAGGAAAATGTGCACAACGAATGACACAGAAGGATGTTGTTTGGCGCCGGGGCAAAAAGGGTGCATGCAGGTCACACGCATCATGGCATTGGCATTAGAAGAGTACGAGGTCCCCAGGACACTGGAGGACACTAGACGATCCGTTTGATGCCCTTCCATCCATACGAGACTTGGACGCTTTCTTTCTCTATTTCCATCTCTCTCTCTTCTTTGAAGACCCTCTTACCTATCTCGTTATGACACGGTGGATATGAGGAGTACAAATGGTACCTTAGTGCCTCTGTATGTACCCAATGAGACAAGGTGCGATATGATGGCATGTGGTATACGATACGACACGATACTCCAAGTGGGAATGGAAGGGAAATTGAAATCTGATCTATTATACTATACATACATACCTGTAGGTACTCTGCCGAAGTACTACTTCTGTGGACAAAACGTATCTATCCATGCAGATGATGATCCATCTGTCCGACCTTCTGTCTACCCATCCATCCATGAGTACCGAGTACACGTTCCGCCCTCCCAGCCCTCGCGAAACAACGACGCTTCAAGCATCAATAGGTAATCATGGTGTGTTTTTTTTTTGGCATTATAATATATTATATGGATTCCCACCAGCCCGGCCACGGTGCGGACCGGTCCATTTTCTGCCGGTGTCGTTGAAACTATTCAGTAAAGTGTGGGAGGTACATAATTACAGCCAGTGTCCGACAATGTGGAACAAAAACGTAAAGAAAACACTTCGATTTTGGGGTATACCCATGGCCCTCCCAAGAAACGCCCCCTCGGTAAAATCAATCAAATGTTCGTTCGTGGTTACAGTGGACATGTAGACAGGTATATATATAGACAGCACAGCAACCCATCGTCGTCAGTTTCTGTCTTCAGCTCGAGTCAATTGGAAAAACTCCAAGTTCTTTTTTCCCAAACTAAAACCCAGGCCACACGCCAGCGTCGATGAGGCGGAACAGATCCCACTCGGCGGCGGCCTCGGTCTTGAAGTTCCAGAAGAACCAGCCCTGGATCTGGGTCTCGTAGACGTCGAGCTGGGCCCGGATGTAGTTTGTCGTGGTGGTCCTGTTGTAGTCGCTCCACTGGTCGATGAAGTTGATGTTGGCGCAGGAGCCGACGTAGGGCGAGCCGCTGTAGCCGCCGTTCGAGTTGTGCTGCGAGTACGTGCCGTCGTAGCGGGCGCCGACGCCGTAGCCGTTGAGGGCCGGGGCGCAATCGGTCATGGCAGCCGTCCACTCGCCGCAGATGACGAACTTGTCCTGGCCCTGCGCCCACGTGCTGGCGTGCGAGTAGAGGTAGTCGACGTGCTGCTCGGGACTCATGGCGACCAGGTCGTCGCTAAAGACTTGGTACTCGTGGTGATCGACAATGGCGCCGGAGCTGCCCTGGCCGGTCAACACCCCGTTCCATGAAGATGGAGCGGCGAATCCATCGTGAATGATGACGGCCGTCTGGCCCGTTTCTCGAACGACACCGAAGCCTGACTCGTAGTAGCTCTGCGTCGCGTCGCGTCCGCCGGGCAGCTTGCTCAACGATGGCTCGTTCATAAGCTGGATGCCTGATATCACGTCTGCATATGCCGGAGTTGCATATTGTTGGGATATCTGTCTAATGACGTTGAGCGTTGCGTCGATCGAATCGCCTGTTGTCCAGCCGGGTGTTGAGGTACGTTGGCCCGAATTGTCTTGTCCGTTTTGCGAGAGAGGTGCACCTGGAAAGAGGATAAGCTAGACATCCCACAAGGCTTGGGATAGTCAATCTTGCTCACCATGGAGGTCGATCCAAACCTTGAGGCCAGTCTCACGAGCCCAGCCAATGGCTTTCTCGAGGTAGTCTGCAGCACCTTGAATGTACGGATCACCTTCGTACTTTTGGAACGCCCAGTACCCTATCGGGATTCGAACTGTGTTGAAGCCGTTTGCGGCGATTTTCTGAAAGTCGCTCAATGAAGCCCAACTGTCCCAGTGGTTTCGCAGAACGTCTCCAGCATTTGGCACTTGTTGACAAAGTGTATATTCATCCACAACATTGCCTCCGTATTGTTGGAAGATCGATGGCGTAATCCATGGTTCGAGGACCAACCAGCCGCCGATATTAACACCACGAACTGGAGTTGACCCATAAGAGAACTGCCGTTTGTTCAGAGGAGAACTGAGGGGGCCATCAATATATTTGGACATAACAGCAACCTGGTGAGGGCTTACCCGACGGCAGCTGTAGCTAGAAGAGCCACGAGCAACAAGTTTCCGGCGACCATGGCTCGATGTCAACGACTTGAGAACAATGACAGAACTTGACGACTGACTTGTATTCCTGTGTGGGCACCGCTTGCTGCGCAGGATCCGGACAAAAGAAATAAGAACTTGATGTCAAGCAAGCTCGTGCAACCATAAACCCTTTATTGCGCAAGGTCCGGGGACAATGTGCAGTGAAGCAAGCAAGCCAGCAATCAAGTAATGACGACTGCGTTAGTATTTCGACTGGTCCAAAAGAGAGGCCACCTGATGAAAAATGAGGGGAAAGACGTTAGAAGAGGTCACACTTGCATATCATGTGGTATAGAAAAGAACTGTCGCAAAGAGGAGGCTGCAGGCGTGGCGGGACAGAGAACTTATCGAAGGTGCTGATCATTGAAGAGTATTCACCGAAAGTGGAGGGAAGGGAACACAAGATGACGGAGAAGAGTCTCGACAGGGTATAGATTCACAACCGTCGTGGAATTCTTGTCACGTAATTGAAGGGAATGTCGAGAGCATAGAACCTGTATGCCTGGAGGCAACTTGGTGATGTGGGTATAGCATTCTTTAGAGCTCGTGGGGTCAATGGTTGGGATAAATGGTGTCTGCTGGAGCGGTTGGTGGATGAAAAATGAGTGGAACCAAACCCAAGTATTGATGGGCACCTTGCCCACATTATTGGAGTTTCTATGTTGATGGTAGAGCCAGCATCGCGAGGGTACCATCAAGATGTGCATAGCAGGTATGCTGGGGGCATAGAGGCGAGCGACGAAGTGACCGAGAGGCCAGTCGAGAGAAGCTGGGTCGAGGACCCTCATGCTTCTCCTCTTTTGGTATCCGCCCTGAGAACCCAACGAATAACCATCCCGGGAGTGTGCGAGTCTGATCGAGAAAGACGATCGAGATGTCCGAACTGGGCTCAAGGTAATCGCCATCATACGAGGCTTCGATAGCCCGTCACCAGCCCAAAGCAAAAATCAAGGTCAGAGTCTCAGTCGAGACGCTCAGAGCCAGGCTTGAGTGTGGTGGCGAAATAGCAGAATTGTCCATGTTGAGCAGCATGGGGAATGCTGGCTGGAGAAGCTTGGTGGAACGAACGGGCTCATTCATTGTGGGTGTTTGTTGTCGATCCCGAAACCCACACCTCCAGATGACCAACCACCGTCTCTCTCGGTCCAGGGGTTCCCAGTCTGGTGACCAGCAAACAGTTTGGGCGCATCTTTGTAGACAGTTCACCGCCCTTTCCGAGAAATGTGTGACGACCTCTGATGCATGGTCGAGTGTAACGTTGGAAGCCTATGTAAGCTTCTCTGCCGAGCAATGAATAGAATGCGATATGATTCAGGTTCGCATTGCTTGCGCATGTTGCAGGCTACTAGAAGGCAAGGCGCTTGTGTCTCGCTTACCTTCGGGGTTGTGCTAGGCGCTCGTATTGCTTGTTGTTGGGTGGTCGATGGCTCCCGGTTCGTGGTCCCTTGCAGCGCCAGCCACCCAGCACCCTGGTCCACTGTTGGCCTCCTGGCACTAGGCCCTCCAGAGGTCAAACCCTCCAGCCACCTATCCAGCTTTGGTCCTCTATTATCACGGGTTGAGTCCCTGCTCTGCCAAAAAGGAATGCGCATGCCTTGTTCCCCTTCTTTGGCGTGAAGAAACTGTCTCACTGTTGATCAGCTCAACAAACTCACGGACCCAGCTGCGCCTGGATCTTTTGGTCTATTGGCAATCGTCCCTAAACATACCCCAGAGCCACGTCACCTGTTTCAGGTACCGTTAGTGTTGTAGGATCTCGCTGGCATCCACAAATGAAGATCTTTTGCCAGGTACCCGAGCGACCCAGCGAATGATAGTGACGCACGTTGCATCCTCTGTGTTCTATTGCGATGAATCAATGCCAGGATATCGATGCAGCTTCACAACACTTCTGCAATGCTTTGTCGCTCAATGATCGAGTTTTGAGCCGAGTCTCGCGACACTCGGTAATACGTCCCTGTAAATTTCGAGCATTCCATTTGTCGTAAGAAGTCTTCGTCGTGAGTGATTACCACAAGCTGGAAATTGGATTGCTGCTGTCGATATTCGATAATCTCCTTCAACGACTGGGCCAGACTTTCGATGTTTTCGCGATCGAGGTTCGTGGTCGGCTCATCCAGAGCAATCAGTCCACAATGTGTGCTGAACACCTCCGCGAGAGCGAGACGGATGATGATGCTGGCGAGGACTTTCTGACCAGCACTGCATCGTCCGCGCATGTCCATTTCCGCTCCTCTCTTCACCATAACCACCCGATAATTATACGAGCGATTGCCTCTTCCCGACTCGTTCTCGGCTCGAATCATGATCGTGTCGACATCGGTGCCACGGTATGTCTTGCGCCACAGCTCTTCAATAATGGTGTTGATCTCCTCCATCTTCAGGCTGTGGTATTTCATAATTGCCTTGTCCAACGCCCCCCCATAGCGTCCCAGATCTTCTACGGCCGCTTTGGTAGCTTCCACCTTGATGTGAGCTTCTTTGTACCGCTGCGGCGCGTCCTTGAGATCTGTTTGGTAGTCCTCCAAGATTTCTGACAGTTGATTATCCTTTGACTTTACTTCACCCATGAGCCCACCCTGTACCGTCGCCAGTCGATTGTACTCCTTGCTGTATTTTTGTGATTCTTGCTGGAACCGGTCGCGGTCAACTTCGGCGTTGTGGCTTGTAAGCTCCTCAATCTCCTCCTGCAGGCGTGCGAGGGCTCGACTCTCTTGTCTATATCGGAGATTGTCAGAGTATCGTCTTCGCGTCGACTCACCATCCCGGATGCGTTCAGTGATCTTGTTGATTTCACGTGTGAGCCGGCTCTGCTCGCTCTGAACGTTGTCCAGCTCCTGCTCCAGGTTCTTCAGTTCGCGGTTGACACATTCGAGTTGGTTGGGTCCGTCACGGTCGACGTAAGATCGAATCTGGTCGTTTAGGATGTCAAGATTGTTGACGGTATCGCTCAAGCTTGAGAGTTCATCGGACATTTCGCGTTCTTTAGTGGCTGCACGTTGATCAATATCGTCGTATTTGGCCTGGGCGGTCGCGATCCGGGGGTCGAGAGTCTCAATCTCCTTGGTGAGATTCTCCATTACCTCTTGTAGCTTTTGGTTGTGTACTCGATATTCCTCCACTCGGGCTGCAAGTGAGGCCTTTTTATCAAGCTGAAATATGATATCGCTCAAGTTGCTTTTGAGGTCACGTAGTTCAAGCTCCATGCTGGAGATGCCGGCTCGGGACTGCTCCTGCTCCGTTCTCAGTCGGTTCATGACATTCTGTATGCCCCGAATCTTCTGGTCAGTTGAGTTCAGGTCCTCTTGAATCTCTTCCAAAGTGCGCGTATTGCTGTGCTGGCTCTGTTTGGCGGACAACTCCTCCACTTGGTTGTTTAGCGATTTGATTTCGCCGTCGCATTTACTAATGGATGAGACTATTTGAACGATGGACTCGATATCACGTTTAGACTGCTGTTTTTGTACCACAGTCTTGTCGTGATTCCCCAACTTTGCCAGCAGAGACTGTCGCTGAACATCCAGATTAGCCGACTCCCGTGTAGCCGCTGGAATCTCAGAGTCGGCGAGCTTCTTCCACGTCTGATGAACAACCCCCAGATCCAGCACACGCTTGTATTCTGCTTCCGCCTCTTTCGGGTCAAACTCCTCTGCGTGCTCTTTCGTCTTCGCGATCAGCTTGTTGATGCGCTCCTGGAAATCCGCTAATGTTTTGCTGCCGACCGCAAAGCCTCGCATACAAGTGCGACACGCCGGCTTGTCTCCTGAACAGGCATCTAGGACTTGCTGAAAGTAATCGTGGAGGCCGCTGTAACCTGAGCTGTTCTCTCTAGCGTTTTGAACCTTTTCTTCCACCTGTTTCAGTGCTTCGTCATAACCTTCGGGGCCATCCTCGATAACAGCACGAAGCTGTTGTTCACATTTTTTTGCCTCATTCTCCTTGCGCGAGAGATCCTGGCGGACAGTTTTCTGCTTATACTGCAGCTGCTCCAACTCTCGATTTACCAGATCTCTTTCCCGTTCTGCCGTCAAAACTTCATCCACTGCGCTTCTGAGGACATCCTGGTGGACTTTTTCGATCGTCTCAGGGGACCATGCCCCACTACCAACCAGGGCCGTAATACGGTCACTGTGAGCATTCAACAAGGTCTCAAGACGTTTCTGTTGGTCTTTCAACGCTTGCTTCGAGTATGAAAGTTTTGCGAGTTCCTGCGCCTTGTTTGAGGACCGAACCATCTCATCCCTCAGTCTGGAGCCAATCTCCTCAAAGCCTCGGAGCTCTGCATTAGCATTCTGAATCTTCTTATCCCAGTCGGCTGCCTCGGCGCTTTCACGGGTCTTTTGTAATGCTTTCTGAAGATCATCAATACGTGACTCGGCTACTGCTTTGCTGCCCTCATCGGCGGTGATCTGATTGACTCGTCGTTGGAAATCTGCGGCTTCGCGGTCATTTGCATCCATCTGCTTTCGCGCAGTGGCTCTTTGTTCCTGAAGCGCCGACTTTCGCTCGGTCAATTTATTGATCAGAGTCTGAGCATCCCGTCGTTGTGTGGTGTGTTCGAGCTTCACCCGATCAAGACTTCCTTTTTGATTTTTGGAGATCTTTTTGATCTTGACCAGAAACTCCTCGACCTGGGTGTCATTGTCCGAGTACTCATACTCGCGGATTTGATGTTTCGCAGCAGCTTCTCTCACCATTTCTTTACGTCTTTCAAGCTGACGTTCGTGCGCCTCCTTCTCCTGTTCGTACTTGCCCTTTAGCTGCACTTTTTCCTCTCGCTGTTTACTCAGCAATTTCATTTGATCTTGTTGCTCAATGTATACCTCTTGTTTCTGACTCAGCTCGTCCCTGAGCTCCTCCTGTCGGGTTTGAAATTGGGACAAGGTCGTTTGCAGCCACTCGTCCGTCTCACT